GTAATCGTCAACGACCTACATTATCTGTGCTGGTTCCGTGTGAATTCGTATCCAGCCAATGCTTGTCGCTTAAAGTGGAGCAGGTAATCATGCACCGTCACATGCCTGATCGTGAGTCATCCTTTACCATGGCTTGGGCTTTCATTCAGTCACCAGTTTATTTGGTCCAGATTCGACTAATTGCTGACACGCCAATCTCATTATAATCACATCTTTTACTCAATGCGATACCTCTCTGTGTAAAAAGTACCAAAACCCCTATGGGCGGTATAGTCGCTGGAACCCTTAGATAAATTGTAACTGATCTAAATGCAGAATGTGTTGTTTCTTGAGACAAGCTGATTTCAGATTTCTAGAACGATTCTGTTTCTTGTTTATTAGTTTCAACTAAATCTGTAAATGTACTATCGTGCCATTTTATTTTCTGTTGGTGGTCTGAAGTCCTCGAGGTTCATCATTGCTCAGTAGCATTTATCTATTCGGAATATTAAAACGTCCACCACACTACCACCCCCACCCTGTGTTGCAAAATTAATATATTTTTTTTAAGCGGGTTTTTATTTTCACTTAAAAGCAGACGTAATACATATGTACACAGAAGACGTAATTCAAAATCAACCTATCGGGTTTTTTTCGTTTCATCAATATCTGTAAATGCACTATCTTGTAACTGGAGTTTCTGCTTCATCGATGACTTCAATATCTGGTTTGTCCACGGGCCGCCATTGCACGGCAGGGATTTGCTATGTGGCGTCAGGCAATGAATACTGTTTTATGCAAATTGTGTGAATGGTGGTGTTACCCGTAGGGTAAGACATGCTTACCCTTTTTCGCGAATTCCTGGTGTCATCAATGATTTTCAGTGGTCCGATTTATATTATTTTCACATCTATTTTGCCCTTTACGCCAAATGGAATATGTTTTGGCGTATATCCAAGAGAGATGTTTCTCTTGCATTGACCCTTAACACAGACATTTTATGTTTACCGCTTCGATTCAGAAATGTTGATCTTAACATACGAAAAATCCACAGACCGCAACTATTCAAGGGTGTATAAAAATATGCACCAGATTCTATCGTTCTTTTATTTTCCCTTCGAACTGTTGTTTATGTCCGTCCCAATATATGTTCGTCTTAGAGACGTGGTGCTGCTCAGTAAGCATTGCTCGCTCGCACCAACAATATTGAAGCCTCGTCATTGATTGACTTATGAGAAACACTGTCAGATCCCCAAGAGAAGAAATAAAGTATCGAAGGTAAGATTCGATGACACGCGGTTACGAATTAAATCACGTGTTTCCTTCAATAACGGTATACAATTGAATCATATATTTCACACAATAACAGTGCACACCTGAAGCATGTATTTCCAACAATATCACTACACAATTGAAGCATGTATTTCACACACACAGTACACATCCAAAGCATGTATTCTCCATAATAACAGTACACACCTGAAGCATGTCTTTCCCACAATATCACTACACAATTGAAGCATGTATTTCACACACACAGTACACACCTGAAGCATGTCTTTCCAACAATAACAGTACACATTTGAAGCGTGTATTTCCAACAATATCACTACACAATTGAAGGATGTATTTCCAACAATAACACTACACAATTAAACCTTGTATTTCCTACAATAACACTTCACAATTAAAGCATGTATTTCACACACACAGTACACACTTGAAGCATGTCTTTCCAACAATAACAGTTCACATTTGAAGCGTGTATTTCCCACATTATAACTACACAATTAATGAATGTATTCTCCACAATAAAAGTACACACCTGAAGCATGTATTTCCAAAAATCACACTACACAATTAAACCTTGTATTTCCTACAATAACACTTCACAATTTAAGAATGTATTTCCCATAATATCAGTACACACTTGAAACATTATTTCCAACAATAACAGTACACACTTGAAGCATGTATTTCCAACAATATCAGTAAACACTTGAAGCATGTATTTCCCACAATATCAGTACACACCTGAAGCGTGTATTTCCAACAATAACAATACACACCTGAAGCATGTATTTCCAACAATAACAATACACACTTGAAGCATGTGTTTCCTGCAATAACAGTACACACTTCAAGCATGTGTTTCCTGCAATAACAGTACATACTTGAAGCATGTATTTCCCACAATATCACTAAACAATTGAAGCAATTCTTTGTCCATTCAGTATCCGAGTTAGTCAGGGTGATAAATGTCTCCTTTCTCTTCGTCCCTAACTTAAATGAGCTTTAGACATTTCTGTTATAATCTCAAAAGTGTCTCATCTGACTCCGGCATGTCCCAGTGTCTGAATCCCCTGTAGATCTGACGTTATGGTTGTTTTCAAATTGGAAAAGTATTGAATTCGATGGAAAGTGAAAGTAAATATCGATAATACTGAAACTGTGTTACAAAAGTAACCGTGATGCTAACGGTAAATAACATCATATGAAAAAATCAGTATGTGTTTCGTTATATATTATTAAGTATTGGTAGCTTCCATAGGGGTTAGAATAAAAAACAAATTAAAAAAACGTGAAAAATATCCAAGCGGTTTCAGTTAACGATCTGATAAAAAATAATTGTTTCTATATACTCCAATACACCATAACTGTTATTTGAACATTAAGTAATGGTCGCTTCCTAATCAATTATAATGCAAGATTCACGATGACCTAGGGTGGATATATTGAAAAAATATCCCAGCCGCAGTCGATAATGCGTCTTTATGCATTTGAGAAATAACGTGCTGTGCGATCGGAACTTGTTTTTTTCTTCCAACCTTTTTTATTCAGAGTAATCAATGTAATTAGACGTAATCAGAATAACCAGATCATCGATATTAAGTCATCGAATTAACTTGAAATGTTAAACTCATGTGCGATTGAATATAAGATCATGCATAATAATCATGTATACATTTAGTATACGCTCCACACAGAATCATGCAAACAACGAATGATATCCTTGTAACCCGGGCAACAGAATAGATTTACGCTCCACACAGAATCATGCAAACAACGAAGGATATCCTTGTAACCCGGGCAACAGAATAGATTTACGCTCCACACAGACTCGTGCAAACAACGAAGGATATCCTTGTAACCCGGGCAACAGAAAAGAGTTAATTTCATTTTCCTTTTTCATCTCCCTTTGGCGTGTTCAATTCAAACTCCCTGTTCGGCTCTTGATGGGTAGAGGGGCGGTCGGGTAGCCTAGTGGTTAAAGCGTTCGCTCGTCACGCCGAAGACCCGGGTTCGATTCCCGACATGGGTACAATGTGTGAAGTCCATTTCTGGTGTCCCCCGCTGTGATATTGCTGGAATATTGCTAAAAGCGGCGTAAAACCAGACTCACTCACTCACTTGATGGGTAGTGGATACCAAATCACTGAATGGTGAACAGAGGCAGTCTAAACAATGTCATCGTGCTCTGGCGACGCATTTTGTACTAACTGTGTTTGAGTGAGGGGACAAGCTTGTAGTGCGCGGTCACCCATCCACCTACTCTCCTCTACGAGCGCTGCTTAACTGACGTCAGTTAGTGAGCTTCACGTAATGTACCTTTGTCACCAATGGTTTGAAGTTTACCAGAGTATTGTGTTACTTTTTAAGCTGTGATGGAAACTGCTTTCAGTTTTCACGTTTTGAAATACATGCATCAGACACAAACACACATGCACACACAAACAAAGAAACCCCAAATTCCTTGATATCGCGGCTTCTGCACATACAGACACTGACAATGTCGAATCTTTCACTGCAGTGAAAACAAAGGATCCGTTAATTCAGATCAGAATTATCCTGGAACATATTTTGACATGAGTCTGAGCTGACTGATCCGACTTTCATAGTAAAATAAATTTAGTGTCTATTTTTTTCATGATAGTTCCAAAGTCATCTACACGTTGTACTGTTGCCATACAAGGTCGAACATTTAAAAACGACCAGATGGGTATTTTGGATTGCGGAGGACATTTCCAAATTGACACATCCGTCACAAAACTAATGTCAGATGCAATTCCTTATTTTCCGTGTTTCAGTTCAGCACTTGACCTTTGTATGTGTGTAAAAGCAGACTTCAATGTGCGCTTCCGGCTATATATTGAACATGTGTTTTTGAATCCCAATCTTAGTGTGATGATACCAAGTATTTGCGAAAAAGTGAGCATATTCTGCCCCACCGCTGGCATCCCTCACAAACATGTGCACTAGTTTACATAACTGATATATTCGCGAACACCGGGTGTCATTACTATTTGATAGTGATTCATAAACACTGAGAAGCGCTTTTATCTAATTTTTAAGCATTTATTTTAGAATTTACTTTCACTTTGTGTGAGTTCATGGAGCATGAACCTTCATAGAGTGAGGGTCAAACTGTACGAACGTCGGAGCTTGCATAACGGGAAGACTACTTGACATAAAAAGTAGGATCATACAAAATATTTTGGGTGTTATTTTGTTGAAATTGTGTCTTCACTACAAAATGAATCCCCTAAAATTGTCATGATTCCTCACTTAGTTAAATTCACTATATTTAGCAGCAATGGTTCAAGCACATATTTCGGTAGCCTTGTGGTTGAAGCGTTCGCTCGTCACGCCGAAGACCCGGGTGCGATTCCGGACTCGAGTACAATGCCTGAAGCCCATTTCTGGTGTCCCTCGCCGTGGAATATTGCTAGAAGCGGCGTAAAAACATACTCACTCACTCACCCACTCAGGCACACATTTCAGCATTTCTCTTAAGATCATGTGCACGGAATGGGTTTAGAGATGCAACGATCTCCGAATATAAGGATCTAATGTCAAAAGTCCCTTGGAGATCGTATTATCCATGTTTTACTGCAGTCAATAATGATTTCACCCTTGTTCGCATATTTTCTTTGAAGTTTGCATCTCCAAGCTGAACATTCCAATGTACAGCTGGATTATGTGTAATAAGCAATTTCAACTTAAACAAACAAATGAATTCATTTTACTTTGCCATGCCTTTATTACATTGCAACTACACAATCTGAAGTACTATGTCTGTTAACAATGACATACAGAGATTTACTGCGTCTCGCAGTTGGCATTTGTTGGCCAGTCGCAGGTCTTGGTCACCCTGTTGTAGTGGAGGCCACCGGGACAGGGCATCTCATTCATCTGGCCGTGAACGCAGGACAAGAACTTGCCGCACTCCGTCGGGTGGGCCGCCATCTGGCCGTGGAAGCAATCGCCGTGCTCTGCATTGGCGTGGACGCAGGTGTGGTGCTCCACGTTGAAGACGGTTCCGTCAGTGCAGTTCTTCAGGAAAGCCTTCTGGTGGCCAAAGTCGCATTGGTAGTAGTTGTGAGCGACAGTTGGGTGGGCGTGGTATTTGACAGTGTCAGCTGGGCATCGGTCTGTTGGGGGAACAAATCAATATATTTTCTCTTTGACATAAATATCCCCGGACCTCTATATCTGTCCTCTTACAAAATATAGTTAAATGGACATTGAAGAGGATTCGTTTGAAAAAATACTTTGTTTCAGAAAAAAACTTGAACAAAAAATTGTACCAGGATTGGATATGTTGGTTATCCACACAAAACAATTTTATCGTGAAGAAAAGAATATTGTTTGGCTTTTCTTTCCAGCAATAAAAAGTTTGTCTGGAAGTGTTGAGCGAAAATGTATTGTCTCCATCAAACAATCCATGATCAGGTACCGACCATGGGATATTCTGGTAGGTCCCAGATTGTAATAACCATGCTTAGAGTATTGAAAAACGTGATAAACCTTGAAGGAAAGCGTATCAGGAACACAAGATATAGCGTTTGGCTTTCTGGTAGCGGAGTATAATACCACAAAAGGTGCAAGTAACCATATTGATGTGGTCAACGTCCTTCGGTTTATTCAAATTTGAAAACACACGTAACACCATGAATTGACATACCTCCACAGGCCTCGGTGTTGCAGGCGATGGTGGCCTCTTGGGTGTCGTCACCATCACAGTCATTGCCACCGTTCGTGGGAGCTGGGCTGGTGCATGATCGTGTCTTAAAGGCCAGGCCCTTGCTGCCACCGCACATCACTGGGCACTCCTCATACAACTCATAGTCAGACCAGTTGCTCCAGCCTCCGTGAGCTGCAATGACACTCATTAATAATAATAATAATAATAATAATGTGCATTTATATGCGCCAGATTCCATTCCAAGTGGATGTTCATAGCGCTACACTATTTAATTTATTACCCCATGGATCAGTGAGCACTCGATTTACATTCTCAGCTCCCCGGGGAGTATACAATGATTTAAACACAATATGTGCAAGTGCAAACTGATTTCCTTTTTTTTTCAAAAAATATAAATTATAGTTCCAAAACAGATAGTTTAGATTCACATGGGGTCAACATTATGACTTCCTATGAAAGTCTACGTAACACATTCCATTACATCAGACAGATAATTGTGTACTGTTATTGTGGGAAATACATGCTTCTATTGTGTACTGTTATTGAGGGAAATATATGCTTCTATTGTATACTGTTGTGGGAAATACATGCTTCTATTGTGTACTGTTAATGAGGGAAATGCATGCTTCAAGTGTGCACTGTTATGTAGGAAACACATGCTTCAAGTGTGCACTGTTATGTAGGAAACACATGATTCATGTGTGCACTGTTATGTAGGAAACACATGCTTCAAGTGTGCATTGTTATGTAGGAAACACATGCTTCAAGTGTGCACTGTTATGTAGGAAACACATGCTTCAAGTGTGCACTGTTATGTGTGCTCGTGGGTTTCACCGAAGTGGTACACGTCTGAGACCTGCATCACTTCGGGCTTTCCCCCCGCATTAAGCTGACATGCCGTGATATAACTGGAACAATGTTAAAAGCGGCGTTAAATCCAACTCACTCACTCACTTTAACGTGTACTTACTGCAGGGCTCGTAGCAAGTTCCAGTGTATGACCTGAAAAAGAATTTTAATGATGAAATACAATGATGTGTTAAACTAGATAAATACAAATATCGATCACATAAACATTACAGAGGTTTAGCCGCTTTCAAAACATGCCCAACATGATATGAATTACTAGAAAGAACCTTAAACATTAGTTCAGTTGACGTTTCAGCTTGATCTCTTTAATGAATCCATGAGGACGATCTGTCTGAACAAAGATGGTAATCAGGAGGAACAAGGGTAAGGTCTTCTAGGTGCGGTGTCTTTAATCAATTACCCACCCATGCTTCCTACTGGGTGGAGGGGATCCACCCCCCGATAGTTTCAGCAAGAAAAGTGTATTGGGTTTGGAAACCAACGGCACAAAACGGTGTCTGTTTGATTTCCTTCAATGTTTCGTAAGTGTTACGTGCTGTGTACCAAATGTATAAGGCTCACCTGTAGCTGCTGCAGTAGTAATATCTGGTGTAGCCAGATCCCCATCTATAGTAGTAGTAATACCTACAGTTGGAGCGCTTGTGTTTCGTACAGCTCTTTGGGCAACTGAAAGAACAATAAGATATACCTTAATTATATAATAAACTGGGCAGCAAACGAAAGTATAGGTCGAGTTCCATGATCGGTAAAAAAATAGCAAGAAGAGGGGTCAAAAATGATTGATCAACCACAGTTTGAATGAAAATGTGCAATCACAGGTAATGTAAGCTCAAGGTAAACAATGGTGGGGTAAGAAATTTCATTTTCAAAAGTTGTCTGAAATGTCATCAAAAAATTGTCAGACACACTACAAGTTCATTGCTCTTTGGGCATCTGAAACAATACAATGAAACGTAAGCCAAAAACTTGTTTGAAATTCATTTTATATTTTGTCAGATCCCTTATATGCAAGGAATATTATTATAGAGGTACGCTGTATAATCAAGTAATCATAGTTTCAAATGTTGTGTATCATTCCATGAGTTTTACTGCTGATGAATGTGCGATTGGACCTGGATATTTACCTTATTGCAAGGATTGATAATTTGTTCAAATCAACGTTTGAAACAATCATAGATAGAATAGATGTTTTAAATACACAATGCCATTTACAGAGTGGTCAAATGTAACAATTGTTATATTTGGAATACCACTTTCTTAGTAATGTACAGATTCTCGTAATTTTGGGGGTTGACTCCCGTTCGGGATTCGAACCCACACTGCCAGACTGAGGCACCTAATCGCCAATTCACAAACTCAGCGATCTAACCCACTCAGCCACCCAGGCGTCCTATCCCAATATAACATCTGTTATAGATGTTTTAAGCCTACAACAAATTGATGTTATCGACGTGTTGATATTTTCATAAACTGAAAATACAGTTGAAGTCAAGTCAAAGTTCATCTTAATATACAGTAAACTACGTTTATAACGAACACGCTTATAACGAACTGACGGATATAACGAACTTACTTTTTTTCCCCGACTATTTGCGGTAGTTATGCTGTATATATGCTTATAAAAACTACGTTTATAACGAACTAAAATTAGTGGTCCCGTTGAGTTCGTTATAACCGTAGTTTACTGTACGTATTATAGCTGGAAGTACCGCTATCACACAGGTCGGCAAATTGTATGTCACCATGAAGGGGACTGTGTAATTGATCCAGATATACAACACTCCAGTTCATGGTAATGTATCACGACAAAATTGAACATCCAAATTCAAGTTTTTTACATGTCAATAAAAGTGTCAAAAATATTGCTCCATCATAAAATATCTGTTCTAAAAGCCCAACAAACATCCACCAGGTTCACCTTCTCTTTTGAAATGTCGTTGAATGGACACGGTTCTACGGTTCTGACTTTGTCATAAGTATGTGTTTATGAATCACTAACAAATAGTGATGGCACCAGGTGTTCGGAAAAGGAGACAGTATCCTGCCCCATCGGTGGCACCCGTCACAAACACATGCAAAGTCAATTCAATTCTTCACCTGATAAAAACACGGGAACAAAATGGGGAATTGCATTGGACATCAGTTTCATTTGTCTTGTCTAGCTTCCACTAGCGTCTAGAGTCCACTGAGGGTAGTCGTAACAAACACGAACAAAGACAAATCATTTCTTTTCCTGTAAAAACTAGGGAATCCCAACTTTTTTGTCACTGATGCGTCAAATTTGGAAATGTCCTCCACATGTCTACGATAAAATTTTATGAAAGCTTCCCTAAGACATTGAATGTTATAACCTTTATCAAGCAATTACTGAGCCAGAGTAACATCAAAATATACAAGGTTACCTTGCTCCGTACGCCTCCTGGAGGACAACAACCAACAGGACTGCGAAGACAACAGCGTACTTCATGTTGCTTGAGTTTCGTTCAGAGAGGAACTGACAAACCCTGTACCGACTCTCCATTTATACAGAATCTCAAGACCCCCATTGAGTATTAGGTTTCTTATCTGTGTATACGTTTGGTATTGCTGTATTTATTTAAGGACGACCATGCCATGCCATTCGTCATATGTGAAGTGGAGAGGAAAGTTTAAAGAAAAACAATGGCACCACAACGTACGAGCTGTCTCCAAATCTAGAGCAGTTCGTTAGATGGTACATTCGGGTATCACGTTACGTTTGCAATACCGTTGAATATGTCTATGCGGTTGTAATTCGAACAGCTTGATCTCCAAACTGCTTCGAGTTATCCTAAGGTTGTCAAGATGTGTATGCAGGAAATGTTTGATGCCATGAGTTGCAAATAACTCCAAGACTTCAGATTCGTTCACAAACATCGTATCCAATTTTCCTTTCTAATGTTTAATTCTTTCATATTTCATAATTTCTTTCGTGATTAGGAATTGTATATTTTAGTCTTTATGTAGGGCATACCGGTGGCCCAGTCGTCTAGTCGTGCAGAGTTGCGTCCCTTGGGCACGCACGGAATCTATGATCGTGGGGTCACTCATTTATTCGCCCTTAATAAAAGTATTATTTGACATGTGTTACCCAGTTAAAACTGATGCGCGTTTTAAATGATGTCAAATGCAGATCCTTATTTTGACTTGTACCATATGTTCCCGTATTGATCAGGTGAATACTTGACGTGCCTTTCTACGTGTTTGTGATGGGTGTCTGGGGCAAGTTACGCCCACCTTTTCTGAAACACTTGGTGTCATCACTATTGGAAAGCGATTAATACACGCATGCTTTTGATATAGCCGGAATGGTACAATGGACTCTGCTATTGTAAAGATTTCTTATCATTATGGAATGGCTGTTGTTGTTTTTTTATTATATACAAGCTGAAACTCAAAACTTCCACAAATACACTTGCTATGTTTAAAAAAAGAGACACTCCACATTAAACCAAACGATAAAAACATACTGCATACATTGCAATTCATATACATCCAGTTGACTTACCAATAATTCCTTCCCCTCTTGGGACAAAGTAAAAGATAGAGCACGGCTCCAAGCCATGATAAAACCGTCCTATCTTTCCTTGTAATAAGTGTTTACTATTTTGCTATTGGTTCTGATGCCGTAAAATTTGTTTGTCTTCAGAAAATCTGTATTGAATGTTTCAATTTATGAACTACACCAAATGTTGGGTCAAGGATTTCAGTTATTATCGTGTGACCAGAAGTTTTTTTGTTTTGTTTTTTTTGTTTTTTTATAATTTTATTTTTTTTCCAATCATTTTACATTTATTTGATAAAATGTGACATTCCAGTACGTAGCTAAGTAATCAGCTAAATAGATGATGGCATGTTGACCAAAATTTATAGAATAGGGCAATGTCACACTCAATAATCGCTGCACATTTAGTAAGGTTGTAGTAGTTTCTTATTTCGTTCTGAAAGACTTGAAATGACGGGTGTCTTTTGTTTAACTTACTTTTAAATATAAGGTCTTTTATTATCAAAAAGATGATGTTTAGAGGGTCATTGCGTTTTTCTGGAAAGCCAATCATCACATGTTTCTTTGTAATTTCGATTTGGATGTTAGCCTTTTGAAGTAGCCAAGCTTCAAGTTTACGCCAGATTTGCTGAACCATATTACAGGACCAAAAAAGATGGATTGGGGTCTCGATATCAACTGAACAAAAACTGCAATTTCGACTTTCAACATAACCTAATTTACACAAGAAAACATTAGTCGGAAGTATATGATGGAGTATTTTGTATTGGAGCCATTGCAGTTTAGTGTCTCTCGTACATCGAAAAGGCATTCTATTGTATTGGGACCAGTTGTCAATTGAGTCATCCGTTAGAATATTCTTTTCCCATTTCGTACAGTGTACATTTTTTGTAGTGACTTCTGAAATTAGTAAGTTGTAGAAGCATTTCGATCCATTTACAAATTTAAGTACATTTTCGATACATGGGGGTATAATTGGATTTTGCAACTTGTTCAATTCTTCTAGTTCAACATTACTTGCCTTAAAATAGTGTTTTATGGCCACGATAAGGCCGTTATATAGTAGGAAGTTCGTTTTTATCTCGAAAGATTTTGAAAAGTTGTCAAACGACAGAAATTTTCCATCTTTGTCAAGGAGGTCATTTATGAAACGTACCCCCTTTTGATTCCAGGTGCTATAAAAAAAACGGGCTTCCGCCCAATACATATATTACTGTTAAACCAAATATTATCGGCCAGTAAATGATTTGCGTTGTGTTCCAGTTGAGCGTTTAAGTCCCACCAGGCAGTCAAAATATCTTTGTAGTAATTGTTAGGGGTAATTGGTAGTAGTTTATTTCTTAAGTAGTTACAGTTATGTTCTAATATATTGCCTGCACCTACCGGTAACTTGGGAAGATTAAGATTAAATAGATAACTCCACTTGGATTTCGAAGTAAGAAAGCGTCTTATCATTGATATTTTTTTAGCCTGGATTGTTGCTTTAATGTTAGGGACATTGAACCCTCCATCCTTTTTTTCACAAATGATTTGGTTTCTCTTAATTTTGTCAGGCTTATTCTTCCAGATAAACTTAAAACAATTTCTTTGAAATGCATTAACAACATCAGTGTTTGGATTTGGTAGTCAACTGAATAAGTGATGTAGCTTAGAAATAATTAAAGATTTTAAAATCGTGTTTCTGCCAAGGGGAGTAAGGTTGCGGGCTGACCAAATAGACATTAGCTGTTCACATATTCTAATCTTTTCTGTATAATTTGTTACTATCATATCATCAAGATCCTGGGTAAATGTAATTCCTAGAAGGTCAAAGTCACTTTGGTCCCAAATGAGATTAAGTTGGGGGCATAATTTCATTCTTGAGCGTTTTTTTTATCCAATCCATGTGGGATGCGTTTTTTCAATGTTAACTTTTAGACCTGAAAATCTGGCAAAGACGTTTAATACATTAAAGAGACATTGTTCGGAACCGTCTAAAATACATGTTGTATCGTCTGCAAACTGATTGATTAGAAATTCTACATTGTCTATATTTACCCCTTTGATATTTTTGTTGTTTTTTATCATTATGGCAAGAATCTCTGCACAGAGAATAAATATGTATGGAGAGAGTGGATCGCCCTGACGACATCCCCTTTGTATATCAAACATAGGCGAACCATAACCATTTACAAGTACACTGGATTCTATCCCGTTATATAATGTCATGAACCACGAACGTATTGATCGTCCAAAATTGAAGAAGGCTAGTGTCTTATCTACGAAGGACCAGTCAACTGTATCAAATGCCTTTTCAAAGACGATTAGTAGAAGTAGTCCAAGAATTTGGTTTGATTCTGTGTATTCCATAAGGTCATAAAGTAAACTCGTTATCTCGCCAATATACCTACCAGACATAAAGCCTTTTTGGTCGTCGCTAATTAATATATGGAGCACAGATTTTATTCTTTTGGAGATAGCAAGTGAAGCTATTTTGTAAAAAACTGATAAAAGTGAGATAGGTCTCCAGTTTTTTAAAAACAAAATTGGTTTGTTACCTTTTGGAATGCAAGTAATAAGTCCCCTTTTTAGAGTTATGGACAATTCACCTTTATCATATGATTGATTTATAGATCGGATTAAAAATTTGTTGATATCTGACCAAAAAAATTTAAGAAATTCAGCAGTGAAACCATCGGAACCGGGGCTTTTATCATTTTTCAAACATTTCAGTGCTGCAAGTAGTTCTTCATAGTCAAGTTTGCCTTCTAGTGATGATGATAAATTTCTATCCAGCTTTGGCACATTACAATCCTTCAATAAATTTTCAAGATCAACATTACTAACATCATTTTTCTTATGATAGAGTTTGGAATAGAATTTTCTAATTTTTTCTTGAATTTCCTGTTGATTTGTTAAAACATCTCCATACTCGTTTTGCAGACAAGAGAAAGATTTATTTATGAAATTTCTAGACTCTAACGATAAGAAATATTTGGTTGGTTTTTCCCCCTTTTCGACTGCGTTTACTTTTGCCCTTATCATAAGCCCTTGCGTTTTGATCCTATTAATATATTCTAGTTTTTTTTCATTTATCGTATCAATTTCCTTTAGTATCTTAGATTTGGCTTCAATGTCGTTAGTCGCATCCATGTCCTCAGTTAACTGATTAATCTTAGATATGAGTTCAGTTTCATCTCTTTCTCGTTGGCGCTTTTTATAAGATGAATATTTAATAGTCTCGCCCCTTATCTGCAAGAGTAGAATTTCGAAAACCACCTGGTCGTCTATGGTAAACTCACTGTCAGTAGAGTCATAATTCTTGTATTGTAAAATTGTTTCCGATATTGTTTTTTTGACAATAGCTACATAGTCTTTGTCCCTGAGAAGCGAGTTATTAAATTTCCAGAATCCTGCCCCCCTGTCTATTTCAGTTAGGGTAAATGATATTGATACTGGAGAATGGTCCGACATAAAGCTTGGCTCGATCTGAGTAGCTGTAATAGACTGGATCATTTTATGGGACACAAGAAAGTAATCAAGTCTAGCTTGCTTCAACGGAGATGGTTGGCGCCAGGTGTATCTTTTTTCATTCGGGTATCTCTCTCGCCAAGGGTCAACTAGGTCCATTTCATCTTTTAATTTCATTATTCTATCTCTCGCCTTTGGATTATTATTGTGTTTATAATTGAAGGTGTCAAAGTAATAATCTTGAACTACATTCCAATCTCCACAAACAATTATATGATCGCTATTTAGTGATTTTATCGCTGTTTCAAGATCGTTGTAGAAGATAGGGTCGTCAACATTCGGACCATAAAGGTTAATGATAGCTAACTTATATTTATCGATTGTGATTTCGACGATTAAACTATTACCATCATTATCTTTTACAACATTATCAAGAGCAAAGTCTATATTTTTAGCAAATAGGATAGCAACACCTCTTGAATTACTACTATAGGAACTGTAGAAGCAGTGTTTACAGCCCCAGTCTTCCGTTACTAACTTTTCCATATCTTCAGTAAAATGAACATCTTGTAAGCAGTATATAGATGAGCGCTTCTTTTTCAAAAATCTAAACATTTCCCTCCTTTTTTTCCTATTATTCAAGCCTCTACAATTTAGAGATGTTATCTTTATCTTACTCATGTTTTAAGATGATATGCTAGCAAGGTGCTCACAATGAATGAATGAGAATATCCCGTAGGTACAGTATGGTTAGGGAACATGGATGGATATGAGCAAGAGCGGGAGTTGAGTGTAACATTGTCCAAAAGCATACATACAGCTATATCTATAGCAAATGAAAGACTCAGAAGCGTATAACAAAAAGTTGATAAAGATGAAAAATGATTGGTAACTGAGCGTTGGGTATTCATGAAGTCAAGGCTCCACGGATGATAACAATTATCATAGATCACGTCGACAGCTTAAATTTAGTAGCTGTTTCATACTCACACATTTGCATTGTGTCCATGTAATTAATCCAGAAAGGTCCAGAGAATCCATAAAGAAAGTATGTGACACAGAAAACACAACACAAGACAACAGCGTACCACAGAACAACACCGTGGTACTGTGGCCACATCTCTCACTTTGCGCGGGAAGCACGTGCAGATTGTGTGCCTACAAATGTGCTTGTCTTATAACTGGTTATTGTTCAGTTGTTTTACCGTATAAAGTACATAAGTCTATTCATTTCATGATGAAAATGAGAGGAAAAACAAAAGCTAGCATAACCAAAACACAACAGTGGCACAAACCGAAATGAAAGCCAATTGGCGGGAAAACAAAAACGTTTCGTCACACATTGATTAACACTGCTAATCTTTTCTCTGCGTTCTGGATAAATTCTACCGTACTTGCCGAAGCACGTGTAGATCTGGTTGATTCGGACATTTCAAAATAGTCAAAATAATGCAGCAGAGACAGCAAAAGGTTATATATGAGTGCAGCTTACGTTGTTTAGCGTCACTGTGTATAATTATAGTCTTTGTAGACGTGTTTCAACAGTTAGGCAACAAAATCATCCGTGGAAGTGGAGAGCGTCTCAACCACGCGTGCGACCCGTATTCATGCGCCACCGGAAGTCCGGAGTGACCAGAAGTTGTTAAATAGAGCCCTGCCAATGAAGTTCTGCATGTCGTTGATGCGTAACGGTTGCTGTGAAGTCACGGCATATGGTTTTACCTAACCATCGCCTGTACCAACACCACGCTTGCCTTCCAGTGTGGCATCGTGAAGCGCCTCTGTAACTTCCAGTGATCCACCCCAGATTTTGGAATGTTCCTCATCATCTTCTGAAAACAGGTCATCGTCGGGTTTGACACCACCGCCTTGTGGTTCTTCCCAATACTTAACATTGCTTTACAGTAAACTACGGTTATAACGAACACGCTTATAACGAACTTTTTAGTCCCGACTATTTGCTGTAGTTATGCTGTATATATGCTTATAACGAACTACGGTTATAACGAACTAAAAGTAGTAGTCCCTTTGAGTTCGTTATAACCGTAGTTTACTGTAGCTGGTTGAGTGAATCTAAACGAAGATAGTAAGATATCCGTCATCAACTGCCACCATAGTGTAGCGGTGTTGTGTTGACACACTACAAACCACACGAGTCAATCAAACACATGTCATGCTTTCAATTATTGACGTATTACATCCTTAGATTTTATATCACTTGGTTTGCAAAGTATTGTATATGAACAATTGTATGGATAGTGGCAAGAATAAAAGAAAATAATGAAGTGGCTTTTAAATTGATTTTTGAAACAAATCGTCGTATTTGTGTTGTGTTCGCACTTACTCACTTACTCACTCACTCACTCACTCACTCACTCACTCACTCACTCACTCACTCACTCACTCACTCACGAATGGTTTCAAATAGTGAATATATGATGACCCCTTTGAAAAATATTTCTGCTTCGAAGAAAAAGAATTATTCCTAAATAGATACCTTTATGTCTAATGAGACATACTGTTCCACATTGAATTTAATTAGAAGTAAATTTAATCATCTGTTGAACTCAGTCATTGTGAACTATGTGAACTATAATTGTCTGACGTTCGCGAAAATCGGAGTGTCGACATTAAACAATCTCACCTATATAGATGTCATCTGAACCTTTACATATTATCGTCGAGTAAACGGGATTTCGATGTATTCTTAAAACTGCTAACGTCATTATGAATCTACATTCTGTCATCTGTGGGATGATGTGAAAGTCGCTTTTAAAAGTATTGCTTTTATTTGGCTACGTACAATCACGAGTGTGTGTGCGTGAGTGTGTGTGTGCGTGAAGATCCGGGTTAGAATAGGTCTTAAACAACCCATGCTTGATGTAAAAGGCGACTATGCTTCTCGTAAGAGGCGACTAACGGGATCGGATGGCTTGGTTGATGCATGTCGTCGTGTCCCAATTGCCTGGATCGATGTCAATCACTGGATTGTGTGGTCCAGACTAGATTATTAACAGACCGCCGTCATATAGCTGGAATATTGCTGAGTGCGGTGTTAAACAACAAACCAACCAACCAACCTCGTACGTGAAGCATATTTTTCTGTCCATTGTTGTCCATTATGTTAAGCTCAGATACATGTAAGGGTCTGCCAATTTGATTATTCCAAAAATTATTTTGTCCTCAGAAACAGAATCAACAGAATACGCCAAAGGAAAAAAACTGATGCAGTATGATCTTTATTGTAGGTCCAGTGCTACATTGTCATCTGGTCTTCTATTCTTCATCCACGATGCAGTTGACCATCTGAGGCCAGTTGCACAAGTTGTGTCTGGTATCAAACTGCAGACCGCCAGGGCACTGATGGAGATGAAGCTGCCCATTGGAACACTGGAAGAACTTACTACAGTCTTCCGTGTGAGGGATGTACTCTCCGTGATTGCAGCTGGGGTGCTCTGTGTCTGGTTCCTTGCAGGTCTTTTTCGCCTGGTTCCAGACAAGTTCATTTTCGCAGACCTTCAGGTGAGCCTGGGAGCCATGCGCTCCACAATGGTAGAAGGACTTCTTGTCTTTTGGGTGCTCGAAGTAGGTGTCAGTGTCCTGAGGACACACATCTGAATAAGAACATTTTGATGAAATATAACAAGATGTAGCGTGTGTGTGGTTTCATGCAACTTTCTGGATTATCAAACTACATGGCAGCTGAGAACACGAGAAATTTGATTAAAACAACGAAATTTGAAATATTGCCTTTTTCTATCAAATCCCCCTCTCTATGTATAAATACACCATTTGCCATCTTAGAACATGTAATCCTACCCATGTCGATCATGTTCTATTTGCATGAACAGTATAGAAATTAACTAAACCAACTACGAGGACAATGATTTCAAACTCGTCTGAAAACGGACAATATCAATATTCCTGGATTCATTATTTATAAATGAGATCATTTACCTGACAAAACCCAAACAAATTAAAAACTTGCTTTTCTACACCTGAAAGATGAGAGCAACGTTTATGTCTTCAAATGATAAGGTAAGGGTATCATTAGCACGTCAAGTTTTGTACTTACGACTGCAAGATCCATGATTGCACGTCCTGTTTTGATGTTCGAGAGAGTCTCCAGTGCAGGAGCGTCCAAGGGCAGAGGGTGTCGGGTTCGTGCAGCTTCTTGATCGGACGTGAAGGGCAGTTGCTCCTCCGCAATACACGGGACAATCTTCCACCGTCTCCCAGTCCGAGTAGCCAGACCATCCTCCGTGAACTAAACAGTACATGAATGTTGTTTTACGCCGCACGTACGTAACCGCAGTCCCGAAGGAACTTTGGTTTTAATAGGTTCCATCACTCTACAAAGGGGTGGCTGTGAGGTTGATTGTGTACCGCGACAGCGTGTAACGTTAAGGATACTTTCAACTATTTGTTACAGGTCGCCGTAGCTTTAACTGAGTGAGTGAGTGAGTGAGTGAGTGAGTGAGAACGTGGGTTTGTGAGTGAGTGAGTGAGTGAGTGAGTGAGAGCGTAAGTGAGTGAGTGAATGAGTGAGTGAGTGATCAGGTTTGGGTAGGTGCATGGGTAAGTGAACGAGTGAGTGAGTTTGGTTTAACACCGCTTTCAACACAGGGATTCAAACCCACGATCATAATATCTCAACACTGCCTTTCCTCTTTCCAAGCAAGCATATATATGTCAGAGAGATATTTCGTTACTAGTTTACACAACCGTAAAGATCCGGGTTAGAGTAGATCTTCAGCAACCCATGCTTGCCGTAGAGGCGACGATGCTTGTCGTAAGAAACGACTAACGGGACCGGGCGGTCAGGCTCGCTGACTTGATTGATGCATGTCATCGTACCCCAGTTGATTAGATCGATGCTCATGATATCAATCACTGGAATGCCTGTTCCATTAGTTAGACCACCATCATATAGCTGGAATATTGCTGAGTAGGGTGTAAAACAACATATACAAGAGGAACAACAAACAAACAAACAAATAAACGAGTAAACAGTGGTATTTTCTTCTACCTACCACAGGTGGCGTAGCATGTGCCAGTGTACGATCTGAAGTTGAAACAGAACACCCGTCAGATAACTCCGCATAAATGATTCTGAAATATTGCTGAGCTAAGAAGCGTATTTGAGCCACATTCAAAACAAAATGTCTCATCTACGTAGGCCATACATCTACATAGATAACACTACTACATTACGTATGTGATATTATAATGTACGTAGAAAGAAGAATGATCTACTATCAACAATATCACTGTCAGAGAGACGATTATAACGAACGACAATACCTACGATGGCCCATAAAGGACATGGAGTCTGTTTTTCAATATTTTGATATTTCACTTACTGTTATTGTAACCTTTTGCAAATTAACACGATTTGTCATACAAATATGTGATAAATCATGTATAAAGAAGATATTGAATCGCTGAAAATTGAAGCGAAAATGTCAAAAACTAAAATGAAAATACAGAAAACTATTTACACCGTGGTGGAAATAGTTTTCTGTTTTGTCATTTTCGTTTTTGACATTTTCGCTTTTGTTTTTGACATTTTCGTTTTTGTTTTTGACATTTTCATTTTCGTTTTTGACATTTTCATTTTCGTTTTTGACATTTTCGCTTCACATTTCAGCGATTCAATAGCTACTTGAAAGTACATTTTCCATGTTTTCGGTTGTTTTTATACATGATTTATCACATATTTGTATGACAAATTGTGTTAATTTGCAAAAGGTTACGATAAAAGTTAGTGAAATATCAAAATATTGAAAAACAGAATCCATGTCCCTTATGGGCCACCGTTAATACCATATACGTAGATGAAAGTATGGCTAACGTATATGATACCTTTTTAGAACGTGGGATTAATACGCTAAACACAATGCAAGGCAGTCCAAACGCAAAGGTAACAATGTGGGAAAGTGAAAGTTCTCTTTCGTTGCAGTCAGCAATGTTTCCGCTATACAACGGCGGTCTACAAATAACCGAATGGTTGATAGCGTGAACAGCTATCACCGACGTCGGGTTAAGACAACGCACCATCGGCCAGGTCACACTTGGCAACCAACCAATCCCCATTTGTCATCGGGGAGGTCGGATATCCTAGTGTCCCAAGCGTTCGTTTGTCGCACAAAGAGACCTGGGTTCGATTCTGCCAATGGTTAGTATAACCGTATAATCATACTCACTCACAGGTCATCTCTCAAGACATGGTGCCTCTCTCTTTGTCTCCCAATCTTTCTTCTATCATTCTCTATCACCCACTCTCTTTCTTTGTCACTCTCTCTCTTCTCTCTCACTCCTCTCTGTCTCTCTCTCTTTCTTTCTCTCTCACTCCCCCTCTCTCACGCTCGCTCTCTCTCTCTCCTCTCTCACTCTCTCTCTTCTCTCTCACTCCTCTCTGTCTCTGTCTCTGTCTCTCTCTCTCTCTCTCTCTCTCTCTCTGTCTCTCTCTCTCTCTCTCTCTCTCTCTCTCTCTCTCTCTCTCTCTCTCTCTCTCTCATAGCTCAGAACGTGGTATTACGTTGTTACTGTAGCTCACCTGTAACTGCTGCAGTAGTAGTACTGTCGCCAGCCGTAGGAATAGTACCAGTAGTAGCGACAGTTGCTACGCTGATACTTCTTGCAGCCGTAGGGACATCTGAAAATACAAGCAAATACTGATTAGGACGGTGTTGAGCCATAGTAATCCAATATGACACGTTATCTTACAGCATAACTGGAAACTACCCTCACACATATAACGATAAGCTGTAAAAGTTGATAAGCCCATTAAATAAGGTAGGTTGGGTTTGGCGAAAAGGGGAGGGCGCGCTAACCAGCCTTCATGTTAACGTTAACAGTTTACGAATTTGAATAGAAGTGGATATATTTGTTGCCAATGGTTAACCAGCACTCTACTGAGTCATGAATCGTTTATGGCGATTCAAATACTTGACTATGGATAACTAGATCTGTGTTCAATGTTTGTTTGTAGTTTTCTGTAGCAATCAGCAATATGCCAGCCACATCGCGACGGCCTGTAAATAATCGAATCTGGACCAGACAAACGAATGGTTGATATCATGAGCAACATAATAAAGGCTGACTGTATTAGATAATATCTAACAAACAAAAGAAAAATCTCCACACTGAGATAACCCCCGAGCATACGCTTATAAACTCAAGGGAAATTGTTGTTTTTTTTGTTTGTTTTTTGTTTGTTTGTTTGTTTGTTTGTGTTTGTTGTTTAACGCCGCACTCAGGAATATTCCAGCTATATGACGGCGGTCTGTAAGTAATCGAGTCTGGGCCAGACAATCCAATTGGGTTTCGATAACATGCATCAACCATGTCAGCGAGAATAAACACCCGATTCCATAAGTCGCCTCCTACGGCAAGCATGGGTTGCAGAAGACCAATTCTTTCTCGAAATTCGGGTTTTCACGGGTATGGAAAGTGAGTGAGTGAGTGAGTTTGGTTTTACGCAGCTTTTAGCATTATTCCAGCAACATCACGGGAATGTTGGGAATCGAACCCGGGTCTTGGGGCGAGCGAGCGCGTTAACCACTTAGCTACCCTTTCAGGGTAAGCATGTCTGTGTTTTCCGGGAGATTTCAAGAACATCGTCACAGCCTCCGTGATCCGGAGAGGGGAAGGTCGGTTGTTATATGCCCCGCTCGGTCGTACTAAAAGACGTTATAGGATGTAACTTGTTGTTACCCTTCCTGGCGCTCGGTATGGAGGAGGATGAAACAAGGTCTTTTCGGCTCTGAGTCAGTATATAGAGTCTGCTTGGGGTATCCAGGGTAAACTGGTATCTCAGTAAGCTAGCACTATAAAACCAGCGGTCAGTCCCTCGTGATTCTATGAAACATTCCAAGGACATGATCATCACAGGAACTGTTCTTACCACTTCATACCGAGCCATATAATTATCAACTTTCTACTTCATACCGAGCCATATAATTATGAATTACCACTTCATACCGAGCCATATAATTATCAACTTACCACTTCATAGCGAGCCATATAATTATCAACTTACCACTTCATAGCGAGCCATATTATTATCAACTTACCACTTCATAGCGAGCCATATAATTATCAACTTACCTCTTCATACCGAGCCATATAATTATGAACTTTCCACTTCATACCGAGCCATATAATTATCAACTTACCACTTCATACCGAGCCATATAATTATCAACTTACCACTTCATAGCGAGCCATATAATTATGGACTTACCACTTCATACCGAGCCATATAATTATCAACTTACCACTTCATACCGAGCCATATAATTATCAACTTACCACTTCATAGCGAGCCATATTATTATCAACTTACCACTTCATACCGAGCCATATAATTATCAACTTACCACTTCAGAACGAGACATATAGTCATGAACTTACCACTTCAGACAGATATATAATTATCTACTTACGTCTTCAGACAGAGACATATAATTATCGATTTACCTTTTCAGACAGAGACTTATGATTAATTATGAACAGTGGGCATAGTTTTATGAATGTTACAAGGAGCGTTATATAGGCAAATATTATGTTGTTGGGTACTTATCAAGATAAATGTCATGACTCAATATTCAAACAAATAGATAGACGTTGACTTTGGCGTTGTTGAAATTTCAATTGTCAATGCAAGAGAATAACCAGTCTTGATTGTTCGCCTAAACAGATTTGCCGAAAAAGTCAAAATAGCTGTTGAAATTATATGAATGGACTACTGAATATCAATGATGCCACCAAGTGTTGGAGTCAAAGGTAAGCATGCCCTGCTTAAAAAATATCTGAAAGCTTGTGGTCACGAGAATGTCACGAATCGCCGGGAGAGTTCACTTCTGTAAAGATGGCAACACATCAAGTGCGGTATATCCATACTGCTCGTTAATCATAATTCGGTTTATTTAATTATATTACATTTGGTTTACAAAGTTCATTATTCGTGTTTAAAGTGCAAAAGTTGGCTTTTGAGTTTGTAAAACCAATGCATCTCGGGTTGTCATGAGATTTGCCCAAGCTAATTCGACTGGGCCCTGCACTTTGGTTTAGGAAAAAGTAGTCAGATATTGCTAATGAGCATTCATTGTTAAAGTACCGCCTCTGCGGTCTAGTGGTAGAGCGTCCGCCCGGAGAGCGGAAGGTCCGGGGTTCGATCCCCAACCGCGTCATACCAACAGACGTTAAAAGATGGTACTTGTTGTTACCCTGTCTGGCGCTCGGCATCAAGGGGCTAAAACAAGGACTGGTCGGCTCGGAGTCAGTATACTGTGTCTGAGTGGGGTATTCATGTTAAACTGCGGCATGGTATCTCAGTGAGCTAGCACTATAAATCGGCATCAGTCCGGACTAGTACAAGCAGCCACACAAACACACACACGTACATGCACGTCGCTATATATGTGCAATAATCTTGGACGCGACGTTAAACCCCATTTCACCTCACCTCACCACATTGTTAAAGTTGAATAGGTAAAAGTATGTTTATAAGTAAGTTATTCCGCTCCTCGGGTTTTTATGAGATTTCCGTATCGGAAGAAAAAATCTCGCAACCCTGCACTGCGAATTGCAGTACCTAAGACTTCATGATATACCTAAGACGACTACGCCACCCCTACACTACTGTAGGTAATGGAAAATGGCGAGTTCACGACTGTAGAAAGTGAATAAAAGTTCACAACTGAAACGCTCCTCATCCCATCCCCCCACCCCCCTCCCAACAAAAAACTATATTCAGATGAACAATAACTTACGTGTCGGCGTTGACGTCATTCAAGACAACGACGACCAAGACGGCCACGACTGCGAACAGGAACTTCATCTTTGATGCTCGTTGTTGAAAATGACTGTTCTGATTTTAGTTCTTACAAATCGCCTTTTATACCCTTTGGCTAAGAATATCAGTATTTTAGGTCATCACCCTTGTCATCTGAAACTGTTTTTTCTTGTACATGTAAACATTTCTACATGTGTATCACCCACATACCTAAACATATATGGAAATCAGACGGATTATGTTAAGTTAACGTATTCATGGTGGTGTTTTAATGGGATGCAGATATTTTTCCGATGATAAGCTGGTATCTTATTCAAGCCACACGGATACGTGAGTTTGCTTAAAAAAATTTACGCCGTGCCCGCTTGGCGTGGGAGGACAGTCTGAACTGACACAGGTCTCAGATTAAATCACTTGTGAAACCCACGAACATGGGAATTCTGCCGACAAACCAAGAAGCATAACCAGATCCGGTCTGGAATTTCTGGCACGCCCTAGGAACGCAAAAGCAGAGAATACACATATATACTTTCAACATTATGTCCAAGCATCGACTAATCATTTCAGAGAACATTTCCGCATATACACCATGTTGCACTTAACTGCAGTAAGATAATCTGTGTAGATTTTAGATTATATTGATTTTCTTGGCTTCTCCAGAATAGTCATCAAGTTTAGAACTATTTTAGGTCAACAGCGACCAAAAAGGGTCTGTATATGTTTTTAGGTTTTTTTTACCAAAAGTCATGTGAGCTTTTGTCTTAGCCTGCGTCCCCTCGAGCAGAAAACATCTTGGACCAAGAAACCACTGAGTGAGTGAGTGAGTGAGTGAGTGAGTGAGAAAGTGAGTGAGTGAGTGAGTGAGTGAGTGAGTGAACAATATTCCAGTTGGTCACGGTGTTTCAGCTTAAACGGAAAACCCGAAGTGATGCAGATATCAGACGTTTACCACATTGATGAAACCCACGAGGAGCGGTATGGTACTGACAAACCTAGTAACAATCTCGACGAATAGGTATTCGAACACACGCAACACAGCGAATTACGGCGCTTTATACAACTGGGCCCCCGTGTCCACTGGAGCAATAAAACTGAAAGTCAATGACAACTGATTTTGATGAAGAGGCTCATTTACGGCTTTCAATATGGCCACCCATTGCCGTATTGGTCCTCATTCAATCCCTTTTCTTTCAAATTGAAATGAAATTATTTTATGTGTAGCTTGTAGCGGGTCTGAATATATACTACTCAAAAGAAGTTAAGGATCACCCGATTCTTTCATAATGGTAAAGTTAATCTGTCATGATATGAGAGATTAACTATTGTAATATGAAAGAATCAGGTGATCCTTAACTTCTTTTGAGTAGTATATATCCGAGTTTTTGTTTATGTCTTAATCGGGGGCACGGGTGGCCCAGTCGTATAAGGCGTCGCGATTCGCTGTTCAGAGTTGCGTCTTAGGCACGCCAGAAACCTATGATTGTGGGTTCCAATCCCGGATTATGTTTCTAGGTTTGTCAGCACCATACCCGTGCTCGTGGGTTTCACCGAAGTGGTAAACGTCTGAGACCTGCATCACTTCGGGCTTTCTCCCACATGAAGCTGACACGCCGCGATATAACTGGAATACTGTTAAAAGCGGCGTTAAACCCAACTCACTCACTCCTATGAATATGGAAAGGGTTTTTGTCGCTTTAATTGCGCATTAGATTTGATTCTTCTCGGATGTCACCTGATGACAGTACTATTTAATCTGACACTCGAAGCAATGTGGGGTGTCATCCCTGGCTCTGAACAGCGGATAGGAGATACGGTTTAATATCATAAGTAAACATTATGACATGTTTACCCTTCATATTGGGGTTGTTTACTTCTGGGAATCTGGCCTCTGAACACGACATGAATTCCGGGGAACGATGAAATGGACCACGTTAAATACTGTCAGCGTTGAAAATAGAATAAAATAACACACATTTTTTTATCCCTATACTTCGACGAAAAAGACCAATAATTAAGATTAAGCTGATTTTATATGTGACCCACGGGGAGAAAAGGGGCCATATGGGTGCTAGGATACAATTGTGCTGTGACGTCATTCAGAAAGAACTTGTGGGAGTTATATATGGTACAATAAAACAAAGTAGGGAGAATAAACCATGAGCTGCGCAGCGCGTCGCCCAGCTAAATCTATGGGAAACAAATCACTAGACACCCCTCTCACAAACATAACGTCGTCCAATATACGACGTCATCAAGTTCCGAGCGCATGTTCGAATCTCAAGAAATGACGGAATATTTCTTCGTGAAATAAACTACGCTTCGTTCTTCATTGTTCTTTGCGATTTGAGGGGCACGGGTGGGCTAGTCGTCTAAGGCGCCGCGATTCGCTGTGCAGAGTTGCGTACCTTGGGCACGCCAGAAACCTATGATTGCGGGTTTGAATCCCGGTTCGCCCCGATTATGTTTCCAGGTTTATCAGCACCATACCCGTGCTCGTGGGTTTCACCGAAGTGGTAAACGTCTAAGACCTGCATCACTTCGGGCCTTCCTCCCACTTCAAGCTGACACGCCCTGATATAACTGGAATAATGTTAAAAGCGGCGTTAAACCCAACTCACTCACCCACTATTTGCGATTTATGGCGCAGCTATCTTACATTTCCGTATAAATCGCCATGTGTGCGAACTACAATAATATCGTATGTTTCTCCCATTAGTTCGTAATGTAATTACAACATTATTTCAAAACATGTCTAAGTTCTATTAAGACATTATATCTAAACACTGCAATTATTACATTTCAGTTATATGTCTGAACATGGGACTTTTCCGAAAATGAGTGCAAATGTTTGATGCTATGTATGAATTGAAGCTTGTGAATTGTATTATTTGTTCTTAAAATACTTATGGTGGCTGATTAGGGCCATCGCACATATCGCCCTGAGATATCCACGTCTGCCAATGAAGTCCGTAACGTGTTCATTGTGGTTAAGGAACGAACCTAGCGCCAGGTGCCGTGACAACCCAATGTTTTTTTCTGATGAAACCCTACCCCGATGAAAGGGTTCTCGTGTTCTTTTTTTTGGTCATTTTCCGTCACATTGAACACATGGCCACTGTTGACCTGTGTCTATGTTCCAATATGTCATCACTCATCAAGCGTTGGGTGTTCAAAGTATGTGTTACTTAACACAAACCTTAACTTCTTTTTAGGATTTCATATGGATATGACCTTTTTACAATAATCTGAACTTTTGTTAAATGATGCATTATTTTAGCCTAGTTTGTAGGATGCGGTGATAGTTACACGTGTCTAATTCGTTCAATTTATCAGTCGTCTTGACAATGAATAACAAAAACTCATTTTGTGGCTAGGATGGAATAATTTATTCTAGAATTACAACAAATGAGTTATGGTTAGATACAGGGTGCTTCGTGCTTGCTTATTCAGTATAATGACTTACGCGTGCGTTTATCTGACTTACTTTCCTCTCTCTTATTATGAGAGATTTAAGTACTAGTATGATCCTCAGTATCCTTATTTCACAAATGGCGACTGAGTAATATCACTTTGTATATCAATTCTTTATTGCCATTAAGCTTGCAGGGTATCAGTACAATGGATTACACGTTTAAACTGTTGATACAGGTGATTAAAGATTAACATAAGTATGGCAAATATGCAAGGCTATCATTTCAATATTTCTTAGTTGACATGCTCTATGAAGAAGGCTGACAAGACAAGACATCTGCCTTACATTGGTAATCGTAATAAATGTACAAGTTCAAATACAGAGGGTCTTTTCAAATAAGATGGCTTTATATACAATTTCCTTAGGTTATCAAACAATGGACATTTAAGACTAAAATGAAATCCATTTCTAGAGGACATACATGATATATTCTTTCGGACAAACTAAACTTTGGTATCTTCCAGATTCAGTTGATAAAATGTGGTCTGAAAGTCCAATCTTGGATATATATTTCCTGTAAATGACTGGAATTGATTTTCTCAGATAATATCTTATGGAGTTTGTACCAACAATAAATTTAAAAGTACACATTCAGAAGAAAAACAGATGTGTCCTCTTACTGCCTGTGTGGCTTGATAAAAAAAAATCTCTGCTTTGTTACTGGTAAACAATTTTAAGTTCCCCCGCATCCGATCAAAAAATACATGTTAAACCTCATATACCAAATTGTACTAAATTTCATATTCCAATTTATTATACATAAATGTATAACAACGTTTAAGCATACAGGTATGAGTTACTAGTAACTTACTCCAATAGTTGCTCGTGTTAAACAACCTAACACATCTAAGAGGATATCGATACTGTCAATACCTTTCTTAAATACTGGCACTATAACAACCGACGAACATTCCTTAGGACAATAACCTGCATTTAGTATACAATTGAATAGGCTATGTACTGTAGGAATAAAATACTCTTTTAATAAATAAAATACTCGTTAAGTTTACCATCAGGTCCATGTCACGTTTGAGATATTTAATTGCCCTTTCTATTTCATGTATTTTTATCACCTGCTCCAATTCTTCATACACAGTATTCTGACGAAGGTCATCACATAATGAATCGTTATCAATATTACACACGGCTGTGGAACGTTCATTAAGGCCACTAAAGTGGTATGAGGTTCATGTTTCTGTCGTTTTGAGAATTTAGCATAAAAAAGCTTTGGGTTCAAATTTGTTAAGCTTGTCAACATAACTCCTTCAGTTTGTAAGAAACTTCTTTTCAGCATACTTTTACATTTTTATACACCCGTTTTCTTTCTTTCAGACAATGATGATTTTCTAGAGTCCTACTGCAATAATAAAACTTCAATAGTCCAGGTAACGTTTCTTTAAGTGATAGCTGAACCAAGGTTGGGGTTGATGTGGAGGATGGTTGTCGTTTGGATCCCCCCATTCTCTGCACGTGCCCTATGTATGACATTAAAACAATGGGGCCATAATGTCATTTGATATGGTAGTGAGTTGTTGACGTTGCTGCCCCTATGATCTTGTGTGTTTATAAGATGAACATCAACACATGACTAAATCTTAATCCTGTCCCGATTGCTTCACGACATTCAGAAAGCAATCTGTGTCCCA